GCTCCCCACTCACACATCCCATCTCCAAACATGGTTCCCAAGCCCCTAAACTACCATGTCCCCATATACCTAAAAACTAACATTTATGTGTATCTTATTATAACATTTGACATTAAGCTTTTCAATTGAATTCTTCTTCCCCTTCTGTGCTGTCTCTTTTCTTTAGTCTAGTTTGTCTGTGCATTGAGAACATTTCAATTATCTTTTTTCTCTGCCCATTTTCCTCTCCTCCATCCAACTATCTCTCTCTGGCATTTCTAATGCACCCAGGGCATCTCTCCAGGCTTCTCTTCTATCTGATTCACCCTGTCTTCACCTCCTTATTAGTCATCTCCCTATCTTCCCCATCTATATTTTCTCACATTCCTTCCTGGTACATTGATCTCAGTTTCTTTTTCTCTCTCCCTTCTTTCTTAACCTTTTCTCTCCCTCTCAGCTCTTCTTTCCCCTTTCCCGTTCTTTCCCGGTGTTCTCAGCTTCCTCCATCATTCTTTTCTCTCTCATATTGCTCCCCTTTGAGATGCCAGGGGCCTGTTTTCTCCTCTGGGAGAAGGGGGATCCAGTAATTTTTTCCTGTCTTCTGGAGTGGAGAGTCTGTTCTGTTTTTCCTTTCCCTTCTGAGATCCATTAGGGGCCTGTCCTTCTCCGGTAGGGGCTGTTCCGACTCCCTCACATTAGCTCCACATTCTCCTTCATCCCTGAGATGGGGATGAGGTGTCTGTCTGAGAGCTGCAGGAAGGACAGGCCTCGCAGTAGGTCTTCTGTTTTTTGTTAGAGTATCCCTAGTGCCACACAGACATCCAGCAGCCCTGCAGGAGACAGCAACCCATTGTGCCTATTGCTAACACTCACTGCTGTGGAACTGGCAGCTGCTCATTGTCTTGGCATAGTTTTCATTCCGATACTACGACTCTGAATGAAGACTGACAAGGAAGAACTGTTCTTGATGGGTTCCTCCAACGCAGTGTTCATCTAGCCACCCCAGTTGCTTCTTCTGAGGGCGATTCCATTTCTCCTGCTTCCAAAGCTAATATTCTCGGAGCCATTACTGCCCTGGCCTTTCTTCAGAAGTCTACATTAGTTATACTGAAAATATGTCAAAGCACAATAACCTCTCCAGCACGCTTTCACCTCTTGACACTGAGATGAATAGCAAGTCGCTAGTTAGACTTAGACAACCTTTTAAAATGATTTGGTTAGCATTGATGTTTCTCTAACTTTTTTCCATTTCATCTGGTTTTATCATTTGCAAAGTGCTCTCTGGTGTTCCCGTGAAGTATGCTAGAGAAGTAAAATTGGAGGGAGTCTTACTGGTAACTGTTTAAATCAATTATGCCCCAGGGATTTTCCATACCATAGGGTCCATGTCCTTCTGCCCTTGTACGGTTCCACATGACTGGCTCTTGTGCATCCAATGACAAGTCAGCTCAGAAAGCATCATCCCCAGCAAAGGGCTAAGTCAAGGTTCCGTTCCAGTCTTCTGAATGAAATTTAACCACACTGCATTCCAGACAGCGCGGGAGACAAACAGGAGTGGAAAGTACAGTGATGACAATGTAGCAAATAAAGAGATTTGGTTATTAACACAATGAATGGAACACAGTATGAGGCTGGAAAAAATTAAAGTCTACATGACATGAGAGCCTATACAAGTGATGTGACCGGGGGGGAAAGAGAGGGAGCAGAGAGAGTTGGAAAACTGCCTTATAGCCAAGCAGAACTGATTACTAATGCAACGAGGGAGGAGGTAAAGGAAATTCTAAATACCTCATATTCAGGTCTGGCTGCAGGTCACATTGAGACAAGCGACTCTTATACTGAAGCTTGGCAATCACTTCTCTAAGGCTACTGATGCGGGGAAAAGAAAAAGGCTAAAGGTTCTCCAGATTGTGTGTGCACATGTGTGTGTGTGTGGGGGGGGGGAGGTTTATTTTTCTACAGTAATATTGCACAAGGAAAGCTACTTCATAAAGCAAAAATCAGTACATTCATTAAGTTCACACAGTATCTTGTCACTCAGGCCAAGTACTGTACTAAAGATAAGACAATACACTGCAACCCGAGTGACACTGAATTGGTTTAAGTTGCTGTGAGGTAACAGGCAATCTTTCGACAACCACCATTGTTCTGTGTGTGTGTGTGTGTGTGTGTGTGTGTTTACACTGAGTGTGCATCTGCACAACTCCCATATACAGATGTAGTGGATGTGGAGCTGTTTCCATGTGCATTTTTTTCTCGCCTAACGCACATCTATGTGTTATTTTATTGATGAGATGACAAATCACAAGTTATTTGACAATAACAAGAACTTCTTATTCCCATACATTTCATTTTCCACAACTGTTGTCTAAAGCAGTTGCATGTCATAACAACAGCGGGTGAAACAAAAACTCTATACGGCGTGGGTGGGTGTGTACGTATGTGTGTGCATGCGCCTGTGTGTGAGCGAATGGATGCTTTACATATATATGTAAAATGTGTGTACACAATACAAAAATTACATCCATGTTACCAAAACAGTCTTCCCTTTTTAGAAGCCAAGACCTCCCTCCACCCTCCCCGATTCATCAGCCACTTGCTTTTCTTTACTCATACAGAAAATGTTCCGTAATAAAGAGCAACCATCATGTATGGGCCAGTCAGCTGAAAAGTGTGGTGGCCCCACTGGACAAACTTTATGATTTTCCAGTGATCTACATGATTTTGCTCCTGATCTACAGGAGTGGCCAAACTTTGGCCACCATTTTGGAGCTGGAAGAGTGGGTGGCCACTTAGTGCTCAATCCCCATTGAAAGTCAAACACATCTGAATATTGCTCAGGCTCAGACAGGAGCTTTCCAACAGGAACAGGATTTTTTTTATAAGGATACCAACTGTTTGCAGGCACTTACTCCTATTCCAGGGCGAATGCAAAATGGTGGCCACTGTTAACCATGGGGAATGGAATTCCATGGGCCAACCATACTTTTTAAGTGATAGTAATGTAGTTTTTCCATATAATCACTATAGTATGTGTGTGTCTCTTATACTATACCCATGAGGGGAAAAAAACACCAGTACATTATACTTCAAGAACTATGCCATACAACATTAGCAACTAAAAATTCTTAAAAACATTGATTGCTATATCCGTAGTTCTGCACATACCCCCTATGGGATGGTATAATACTGTGTAATGCATGACAGTGAGACTTGCACGTATTGAACACTCTGTCTCACCATCTGGAAGTTGGGTAGTCACCCCTAAAACATGAGATAAGAAGTGCATTACATCGCCCCCATCATACATTTCCCCCTCTGTTTATTTCTCTCTAAATCAGGGTGGGAAAACTTTTTGTCCTGAAGGCCACATCAGGGAATAGCAATTGTATGGCGGGCCATGAATGTTCACAGAATTGGGGTGTGGGAGGGGGTGCAGGCTCTGGAGTGGGGCCGGGGATGAGGAGTTTGGGGTGTGAAAGGAGACTAGAGGAGCTCGGGTTGTTTAGTCTGTCCAAACGAAGGCTGAGGGGGGATATGATTGCTCTCTTTAAATATATCAGAGGGATAAATACCAGGGAGGGAGAGGAACTATTCCAGCTCAGTACTAATGTGGACACGAGAACGAATGGATATAAACTGGCCGTGGGGAAGTTTAGGCTTGAAATAAGATGAAGGTTTCTGACCGTCAGAGGGGTGAAATATTGGAACAGCCTTCCGAGGGAAACGGTGGGGGCGAAGGACCTGTCTGGTTTCAAGATTAAGTTAGATAAGTTTATGGAGGGAATGGTTTAATGGAAAAACATGATTTTAGCCAAAGGAATACCGTGCCATGGCAGGTAAATAGTATAATGGCTAACGAGGGTCAGGCTGGAGACTCTTGCCTACGT